TTGTTTTCCCTCATTCTGCTATAGGTTGCCAAATACCCATCCCTTAAAGTGAGCTAGATTTCATAGCCTTGGTCCCTAGGCAGACCTGATATTCATCCCATATTCGCTCTTAAATTTTAGGGTCTTTCTTTAGTCTGTATCTACTCTTGGGATCAATTTCCACATTAGCCAGGGCTCTTAACTGGAAGTAACAGAAATGGACTTTGATTAAACAAAATGGGAATATATTGAGAAGATACTGGGCAGTTCACAGAAATACTGGAAAGACTGGGGAATTGGGCTCAAAAAAAAAAAAAAAAAGCCTAAGAAAGAATAAAGAGAACCACAGGACTAGGACTAGGGCTAGGGTCAGAGCTATAATTACGGTTAAGGTGAGGGTTAGGATCAGGGCTCAGATTGGGGCAAGGGCTAGGGTTCAGGCTAATCTAGTGATAGAATTATGTTTGGGATATGGCTAAAGTCAGGGCTACAGTTAGGGCTAGGATTAGATTTAGGGCTAATGTAGTCTAGGGTTGAAAGAGTAGATTTAGGGTAATGGCTTGGAGTTGGCTTTTATGGCTTTTGCTAACCTTAGGACAAAGAGAACCGTAGGACTAGAGCTGGTGTTACTTCTAGTGCTATAGTTAGAATTATGGTTAAGGCTAGTGTAAGCCTCATTTGGTGAATGTAGTTCATGCTCTTGACTTCTCACCAAGGTTTTCTCTCCCTGGCTAGTGCACTCATCCTCATTTACTTCCTTCTGCTGAAATTTACTCTATGTGAACAGTAACCACCTCAACCTTGGAAAGGTTAGTGCTGGGATAACTGATTAATTATTCTGAGGTATAATAAAGTTAGAACCTAATTCCCCAGTGTTCACCAAGATAAATGCCAGATGGACTAAATAATCCAATGTAAAAACTGAAACAATAAAAGTAGAAAAATAGGTGAATGGCTAATCTCCACATGGGAAATGGCTTCCTAAGCTTACAAATAATTTTTTTACAGATCACAAAGGAAATGTTAAACCTGTGACATTACCCTATCACATGTGAATTTACCCGCAGGCAGAAAATCAGAGCTGCTTGCTGAGACGGATGGATAAGAACATTCATTTCAGTGTTACCAGGAAAGAGGAAAGGGAAATAGCCCTTCCCCTTTCAGATACTGTTAGAGAGGCTGGGTTAATAATTTGGCTTTGAGATTTTTTTTTTTTTAAGATTTTGTTTATTTGTTTGAGAGAGAGACGGAGAGAGCACAAGCAGGAGAAGAGACAGAGGGAAAGGGAGAAGCAGACTCCCCCCTGAGCAGGGCTCGATCCCAGGACCTGGAAATCGTGACCTGAGCCGAAGGCAGACGCTTAACTATCTGAGCCACCCAGGTGCCCCCGGTTTGAGATTTGTTAAGAGAAAACTCAAAATTCAAATAATCTACAGACTCTTTGCATACCTAAAGGTAGCAATCAGAAGAGGGCAACATTTGTTTAGGGAAACTCTGTAACAACCTTCCTGCTGATGAAAGATTATATGAGTTCTGTCCAGAGGAGGTGAGGAATGGGTAGGGAGTTCAGGTGCCCCATCAGATACGATGATGGGACTGAGACAATATTCCCCTGAAGACAAAGAAGGAAGGATGTCAGTCCTGGACTGAGTAAACAGGAGAGAAGGAAAAATGAAGCTATCAGGAAAGTCCGAGAGAGGAGGGGGGTGCGTGGCTGGGAGGCTTGCAGAATGGAGATGAACCACACTCTGTTTTGTCCATTTGGGGGTATATGTATATATGTGTGTGTATATAAAACATGTGCATATGTTATATATCATTTAAAAATATATATTCATTTACATTATGTGATGTACAGGTAGAAGAGGTAGTATAGTTATGTGGTGTCAAATTTGAACTGTACAAAGTGTGTCTCTTCTAGCCGGCCCTGCACCCACCCAGGTCTCCTCCAACAGTCAGCAGTTACTGGCTTCTTGTCCTTCCTTCAGGAGGTGTTGGAGCGATCCTTCACATGTATGAGCAAATATCTGCATGTTCTCTTGCTCCTCTTTTTTTCTGTTTACGAATGGGAGTATATTATGCTCAGTGTTATGCACCTTGCTTTTCCCCCTTAATAACTAGTCTTGGAGATATTTTTATATCAATATTTTTATATCATTTTAATATTTTTATATCAATTTTTATATTTTTATTTTTATATCAACAAAGAGCAAATTCATTTCTAATTTAATCAGTATCTAGCTGATAGACATTTGAGTTGTTATCAGTTTTTTTAAATCATAGACGAGGCTGCATTGAATACTTTTTGCATTCATTATTTTTCAAATGTAAGTATATATATATGACTTAGATAAATTTTTAGAAGAGCTGCTGGGCCAATGCGGATGTGCATTTGTTATTTTGATAGATATTGCCAAACTGCTCTCCCACCAGTAGGGTGCAAGTGCCTGCTTTCTAACACCCTTATGACTATGTCTAACACTCACTTTTAAGCCCTTTCCTTTCTGTGTTATAACCTCTGCTATGACCACACCATCAGTAAAATATGCCTTGCACAGTAACATGGGCTTTGGGGAAGGAAGGAGAAGAAAGTACCATCAGGAGCAGGGTCAGAGGTGAATAGGATGTGCTGGAAACAAGACAGTGAAAAAGGGAGCAATCATTAAGGAATTTCTTGCAAGAAGTGACCAAAAACAAAATGTCATTTCTCTGTAATTTCTCTGGAAATCTAGTCCACCCTGGAGTTGCCACAGCATGTGTAATAGATGTTAGAGTGACTGATTTTTGTTACTGAAGGGAAAAGACATCCCAGGAGGTCAGAAATTTTAAAGACTATGGGTTAGTATTACAAGGTTGAAAATTTCCCATCAAAGAGGGAGGTGGCATCTGGCTCTTCCTGTGTATTTACACTTGTAAACCGGCGCTAGAGGAATGATCATGCTCTCTCCCAAGCCTTCAGAGTAATGGGGTACTTTGGTCTTGAGGTTCTCAGACTTGACCTTGTGTCTCCAGGATAGTCCATCCCCTGAGCTGGTAACCCGAGTGTGGAGCACATCATAGGGAGAGCTGGAGACCACAGGGCACCATGGTCAACTTCTGCGTCTAGTTCTCTGAGGGAGATTACAACGCAGAAGAGAACCATGGAAACCATCTCCTGACCTCTGAATTTATATCCTGGTTAGATTTTCCCCCCTTCTATTTAATTCATTTGTTTTTATCTTTAATAATGTTTTCCTTCTATTTATTTCCACTGGGATAATTTTGTTTTTATTTCTCTAAGCTCACTGTCCTTGAACTAAACCCATAAAACAAGTAATTGCCAAATCCACAATCATAATGAGTAACTTCAAAACACCTTTCTCAGGAAGTGGCAGAGCAATCAGGATAAAGCAACTTAAAAAAAAGGTTTGGAAGAGTCAAACATGTCAGGTAATAAGCTTGAAAATATGCCTATGAAAATTTGAACACAACAAATAGAAATAGATCTTCTTTCCAAACTCCCTTGGAACATTTAAAAATATTAACCATTTATTAGACCACAAAGGAAATTTCAGTAGCTTCCCCACACCAAATACATGCAGGCCAACAAGAAGAGCAAAATCTTTCTAGCAACAAAGCAAACAAAAGCCCAACTCTTAAATATCTCTTGCGTTAAAGAAAAAAAAAAAAAAAGAATGCAAACTATAGATGCTATACATTTCACATCTATAATGATATTAAAAATTTTGAAGTTTTAGTCTGATTTCTGCCTTGTTTTTTTTCATTGCTTTGCTTATTTTAATCTCTTTCATGTTAGGGTCTTTCCCCATCTATCTTGATATTTCTGGCTATGTATTCACATGCAAGACTAAAGTACTAAAAGGCTCATTCAGTGTTTATAACACATTTTGGGGGGTTGATTAGTGAACTTTGTTTAGAAGGAATAAGGCACTAAGATAGCTCTTTTATGGGGAGACCTTCTCTTCTGCCAGGTATTAGGCAAATCTCTTTCCCCAGCAGGGAACCTTGCCAATTTTTTTTCACCAAAGATTAGAAGAACAGCTGCTGCCATCAATTCTGGGCAGAAAAAGCCTCAGGGTTCAGAAGGCATTCTTCATTCTCCACTGCTTTTGGCCTTTCGCTCATGTCATTTAGAAAGTATATCCAAGTTCTATCCTGAAAGCAGAAGCCACTGAGAAAGATTCCTGAGAAGGTAGGAAGGGTTAGAAGTCAAAGAATAGCTGTGATTGACCTGAGATCAGAGATGCCCAGCTCCTCCACATCAGGTTTGCAAAGCGTGCTTCCTGATCAGCAACATCCACATCACCTGGTAACGTGATAGAAATGCAAAATTTGGGGCCTCATCCAGAGGCACAGAATTAGACTCTCTGTGTGTGGGCCCAGAAATGTGTTTCAACAAACGTTCCAGGTGATTCTGATGCTAAAGTTTGAGAACCACTGACCTAACTTGAAGAAAGAGGGGAGTTGGTGTTAACGTGTCTCGTGGCTGGAATTTGAGGACGTGGAATTTTAAAAGCCATAAGCAATCAGCTCGAGATGGAGGATCTGGGCTGTTTTCTCATGTGCAAGAAGCAAGGTAATTCATAGTCTTCTCTTTTCTAAAGGGTGAGGAACCCGAGAAACCGGCTTCTTTCTGAGCCATTAGTTACCCAGACTATGTCGCCTCGTCCTTGAGCTCCGGCAAGCGTCAGAAAAAGAATGAAAGGAAACAGAGGAGGACAGTGTGGGGCAGGAAGAAATGACAAGGGCCCCGGCTTTCGTAGCCCCGAACTGCGTACCTATTGCCCAAACAGGTGCCCTGCCCGCCCCAAACCCCAGTCCCCACCCCCCACCCCCAATTAGGTTGGACGAACGCTTTGCCTCAGCCCCCACTTCCGGGCCCCAGCCAATAGGAACTCAAACTGCTTAGCCAGTCAGCGCCCTGCGCTACTTCCGGCGTTCTGCGTGCTGCCCTGGAGACGGGATGGGCGAATCCAAACGCAGAGGGGTGCTGGACCCGAACTACCTTAAACTGCGCCTGAGCATTCCACTTTGCTCCATTGCTTCACCCCGGGCCTTGGCCAGTGGACCTGCCCTGAAGCATTAGAAGACTAGACGCGCGCGGTGGCGAGAACCTTCCACCGGGTGGGCGGCTTCTACCCACCGAGCGTTCAGGTGAGTGTCAGTGGCAGTTTTAGGATCTACGAATTTGGGTTCGCGTCTTCCTGAGCGGGTGCGGGGGACACTACAGGCCTGGAGGGGCGCCATCCACCTGCCCTCTCTCCGTGAGCCTTGTGTCTCTGGCGTCTTCTCTCTTCGGGCTCTGCTTTGTTATCGTGTTAAAATAAAAACCTTAAATAGTTTTCTTGAGGCTTTGGTTCCGGGCATATGGGACACCTCTTCGAGAACTTAGGTGCGGGGCGGGGAGGGGGGGGTTTGGATTCGGGACTGTAGGGTTCGGGAGATGCACTTTATGGACGCCCCAGATTCGGAGTTTTTTCCCTTAAAACCTTGGCAACGCTTCCCGAGTTCTAAGCCGGCTGTGCTGACGGATGTCCATGGACGTAGAGAGACAGTGAAAGCCGCCAGTTCGCTGGTCATGAGCTTCTTGGAGTGAGGAGTGTTTATGCAGCGATTCAGCGCCTGCACTTTCGAGATCAGACTAAGCTTAAAGCCTGTAGTTAATTCGGCCTGTCAAGGAGGAGCATCTGTTGAATGCTTGGCACAGTGCCTGCTACCTTTTATACCCTCGAAAAAGGTTGTTTTAGCCTGTGGTTAGCGAAGTTGAGCGTGCATCCGGGGTGGGGGGCGGTGAATTACACCACAGATGGCTGGGCTCTGCTTCCAGAGTTTCTGATTCAATAGGTCTGGGCTGGGACAGCAGCTGCTAGTTGAGGAGTTAATGATCTGAGGATAGAGGTAAGTGAAGGGAGGGTTCTGGTCTTTATCTGCGTGCCTCTAGCACCTGGTCAGTTTCAGAGTTTGTTGACTGTAGGCCCGGCCCCTGAATCTTAAATGCCTCATTTGCTCCTAAGTGTGATTCGTTCTGACTTCTGGCTTCTCTGATAATACCTCGGTGAACTTGTAGATTGAGAGTTTTAAAAGACGCGGCACGCCTTTAGAAAATGGGGCGGCGTGGGGGCGCCTGGGTGGCTCAGTCGTTGGGCGTCTGCATTCGGCTCGAGTCATGATCTCAGGGTCCTGGGGTCGAGCCCCGCATCGGGCTCCCTGCTGGGTGGGAAGCCTGCTTCTCCCTCTCCCACTCCCCCTGCTTGTGTTCCCTCTATCGCTGTGTCTCTCTCTGTCAAATAAATAAATAAAAATCTTTAAAAAAAATTATAAAAGAAAATGGGGGAAGACTAAACTGGTGTCTGGAAATGCACACTTGGTGAGAAAACGATAAACACTAGGAAGTAATAACAGTGACAGGCAGGATCGTGATTGCTTTTGGAAAGGATGAGGAGTTGTGATTGCCATAGGCTCAGGAAGGGACTTCTGGAGTAGCAGGCAAAGTGATGTTCTTCACCTGGGTGGTGATCACAAGGATGTCCCCCTTATAATAATTCATTAAACTATACATTTATTTTGTGGGGTTTTCTGTATTTGTGTTTTATTTTACAATTTAAGAGGTCACGTATTTTTTTTTTTAAATGCATTTTAGGAAGTTTCAGGTGAGAATGGTCTTGGGGTGAGCCAAAAAGAATCTAAAAGCCTGGAATTTCAAACTTCAAAGATAACTTAGAAGATCATCTGATCCAATTCTTATTTTACTCTAAGGAAACTGAGCCCCAGAGAGGGAAAGTGCTTCCATAGTAAACCACCCTTACCTAAGCTGATTTTGTAATTGGTGCATTTCATTAATTTCAGGCATGGTCTGCCTAGATGCCACTACTCAGTAAAAGATTGAGGAAAATAATTTGGCTGAATCAAATTCAAACTTTGAAGATTTAATTTTTTTCTTGTGGTTTAAAACCTTATTTTCAAGGACTCAATTCTTTATCTTATATAAAAACTTATTTCAACACCTTATCCTGGTGTATCCTAATGTAGCCAATTTGTGAGCATTTAAAGGTCTCTGGTTATTTTTTCTGGTTAAATAGCTTTTCCATCTTAACATATTGTCAATTTAATCTTACTTTGGTTATATTACATACTATGTAATGTTGACCTGTTGCCACAAAATTACCCCTGTCTGGGCTGCATTTTGGCAGGTCATGAGTCAGTATTGGTTTTTAAAGAATGGGTTTTAGGAAGAGAGGAACATAGAGGGAATTTAGTAAAAGTGTTCATTAAAATAAATAGATACTATCTGTGCCACTTTTGGATTTTCATTGATTTAAATTTGGATTTCTTCCACATCTTTTCTACTTAGAATTTAAAGAATTTTGCTGTCATTAGTGTGAGTTCTTCTGATTTGATATAGAGACCAGGTTTGTAATCCAAATAACTAAATGTAATTACTAGCCTATACATTTTTATAGTAGAATTTTTTCCCATTTTGCAGTAAATTTTAATTTCTTTGGAAGATGGAATCATAGAATTAGTTATTCCTAGATTCTCAGATTACTGGTTACCTACCAGGACAGGACTAACTGCTGCCTATTGGCTAAATCTGGCTCTCAGCCTGTTTTTGTATGGCCTACAACAGAAAATACATTCTGGAGATCTGATGTACATCATAGTGATTATACTAAACAATAATGTATTATGTACTTAAAAGTTGCTACGAGAATAGATCTTACATGTTCTTACCACAAAAAAGTGATAATTATGTGACATATAGAGGTGTTAACTAGTGTTATGGTAGTAATCATAGTCTTATATATAAATGTATCAAATCACATTGTACACTTTCAACTCAAATTACTTGTCAATTATATCAACAAAAAAATTGAGATATTCACATACTATACCCATTTATAATATACAATTCAGTGAGTTTTTAAAAAAGATTTTATTTATTAGGGGAGAGAGCGAGAGCAAGCGAGCATGGGGGTGGGAGGGAGAGGGAGAAGCAGACTCCATGCTGAGCAGGGAGCACCAGGGGCTCAATCCCAGGACCCCAAGATCATGACCTGAGCCCAAGGCAAATACTTAACCAACTGAGCCACCTAGGCACCCCGATTCAAGGATTTTTAGTGTATTCACAAAGTTGTACAACCATCAGTACTAATTCCAGAACATTTTCATCTGCTCAAAAAGCAATGCCATACTCATTAACTTCTCTTTTACATTCTGTTTCAAAGGGTTTTGCTATAGGTTTTGACTTACTGGATACCATGTAGAAACAGCTGCTTTTAAAGAGTGTATCTTACAGCTTACTGGATAATTTCTGGAACATTTTCTATAGTCCAGCATATGAAATCCTTCCAAAGAGATGCCAATTTAAAATATATTTTGCCAATCGAGTAAATACTCTGATTATATTGTAAATGTATTGTTCAAGATGCTGAATCCACTAATGTACTTCAATTCTAAATAAAATCTGATAAGACTAAATCAATTCCTATTCATTCATGCAAATTAGGACAAATTGGCCAAGAAAATGAACTCTCTTAACTGCTTATATCATAGATGATGAAGTGATTGGTTAAATTTTTGTTTGTTTAAATTTAAAACAGGAGTTGGCAAACTTTTTCTGTAAAGGGCCAGATAGTGGGTATTTTAGAATGTGTACAGGCCATTACTCTGTCACAACTCTGTAATTGTAGCCTAAAAGGAGCCTTAGACAATATATAAATGAATGGGTGTGGCTATGTTCCAATTAAACTTTGTTTACAAAAACAGTAGCAGACAGGATTTGGCCCAGGACCCAGTAGTTTGGTGACAGCTGACTTCAAATAATATTTGGATTGACTCTTAGAATCTCTGTGGATTAGATGGAAATATCATTCCATATTTGTTTATAAAGTATTTTAACATACATTGTCTCATTTGCGACTCATAATTTGAGGTTTAGGTGGGTCATATATTGCCACATTCTATACAGATATTGACACAATGTGCCTGCCTTTGTAACAAGAATGAAAGAAAAGTATCAAGATACATTGGCTGGCATCTCATTCATCCCTCTTTTTGTTACATGTGTTGGAAGTAGCTGTCATTTTCATCATTTTTATTGAGATCTTGTTGAAGGAAATTGAGTATTGGTTTGTCAATTGTTTTATTTTCCCCTTAACTTTTTTTTTTCTTCACCCTACAAAAGACATTCATATCCAACACTTTTAGGTGAATTTTCTGAGTTTATAGAATTACTAGGTTTACGTATTAAGTATCCTAGGCTAATTAATCATGTAACTAGCTTGCATTTATAAGTATTATTTTTGTTTACCTTTTAGGAACTAGAGATGCCATTAGGCTGTCATTTTATCCAATGTGAGAAGTCAGCCCAGAGATGGAAAACTTTATTCTGTATGAAGAGATTGGCCGAGGAAGCAACACCATTGTTTATAAAGGGCGGCGGAAGGGAACAATCAATTTTGTAGCTATTCTTTGTACTGATAAGTGCAAAAGGCCTGAAATAACCAATTGGGTAAGTCAAGTATGTTTCCCTCCCTCTGGGAAAACACAGAGTTATGATCAAGGAGAGGTAGCAGCATTAAACAGAAGCCATTGAACTCACTGTAGAAAATACCACATTTTCAATCTGTAATGGGTGACCTTCTGTCTGTTTAGTGCCACCAATCTTTAATAATGGCTAATAAACATACCTAAGTAATTATCAGCTTAGTGTTATTTTTTGGGGAAGAGTCAGGGAAAATATACTCTATATTAGATCACTTACTTATAAATTTAGTATGTGATTTATGAAGCTTGCCAAAGGAAGGACGTTGGGTGAGGCGACTTGGGTTTAAAATTTATAGCCCAGGCCCTGGACCAAACTTAGCTTTTTTTCCCCCCATTGTGGTAAAATACATGTATCAAAAAATTTACCATCTTGGCCATTTTTAAGTGTTTAGCTGGTGATATTAAGTACATTCATTATGCTGTACAACCATCACCATCTCTAGAATTCATTTTTTTTAAAGTTAATTTTTTTTTTTTTTTTTAAGTAGGCTCCATGCCCAGCGTGGAGCCCAATATGGGGCTTGAACTCATGACCCTGAGATCAAGACCTGAGCTGAGGTCAAGAGTTGGATGCTTAACCAACTGAGCCACCCAGGTGCCCCTAAAAAGTTAATTTCTTAAGAGCAGTTTTAGATTCACAGCAAAATTAAAGTGTAGCGATTTCCCACTTACTCACTGTCCTCCTGCATGCATAGTCTTCCCCATTGTCAGCATCGCTACCAGAGTGGCCCATATTTTACAAATGATGAACCCACACTGACACATCATAATCACCCAAAATCCATAGTTGACATTAGGGTGCACTCTTGGTGGTGTACATTCCACCGTTGTGGACAAATGTGTAATGATATGTATCTATCATTATAATATCATCCAGAAGAGTTTCACTGCCCTAAAAATCTGTGCTCCACCTAGTCATCCCTCCCCCTTCTTCCTAACCTTGGGCAACCACTGATCTTTTTCTTATGTCCATAGTTTTACCTTTTCCAGAATGTTATATAGTTGGAATTGTATGTAGTCTTTTCAGATTGACATCTTTAACTTAGCAATATGTGTGTAAGTTTTCTATGTCTGTTTGTGGCTGATAGCATGTGTCTTTTTTTTTTTTTTTTTTTGATGAACAACATCACATAGATGTACCAGTTTATTCATTCACCTATTGAAGGGCATCTTGATTGTTTCCAGTTGTGAATAAAGCTGCTATAAACATCTGTGTACAGGTTTTTGTGAGGACATAAGTTTTTAACTCTTTTAGGTAAATACCCAGGGTATGTTGCTGGATTGTCCAGAACTCTTGTCATCTTGCACAGCTGAAACTCTGTACACATTAAACAATAATTCCTCATTTCTCCTTCCCCAGTCCCAGGCAACCACCATTCTACTTTGTCTCTGAATGGTACCTCATGTAAATGGAATCATACCTCCTTTCTTTTATGACTGACTTCTTTCACTTAGCATGGTGTCCTCAGGGTTCATCCATGTTGTAGCAAGTGTCAGAATTTCTGTCATAAGACTGTGTAATATTCCACTGTATGTATATACCACATTTTTCTTATCCATTTACCTGTCTGTGGACACTTGGGTTGCTTCTACCATTTGGCTATTGTGAATAATGCTGCTGTGAACATGGGTGTACACGTATGTCTTCAGGACATATTCTGCTTTCAGTCCTTTGGATATATACCCAGAAAGTGGAATTCTAGGTTTAATTTTTTTTTTTTTAAAGGAACTACCACACTGTTTTGCACAGAGGCTGTACCATTTTACACTCCCACCAACAGTGCACAAGGGATTCCATTTCTCCACATCTTTGGTGGCAACACTTGTTATTCTCTTTGTTTTTGTCTTGAAGGTAGCTATTCTGATGGGTTTGAGGAGGTGTTGGCTTTTGTAAGGAGTATGGATTGTTGAGGGAAAACAGGTATATGGGACAAGATACAGGTTAGTTTGTAGAATTCGGTGCTAGGAACACAAGGAATTTCTCTTCTAATGAGGTTTTCTCTGAGATGAGAAACTAAGTCCTCAATTGAGGGGGTGGGGGAAGGCAGTGTTCCAGGTAAGAGGGAAGCAAAAGTGTGAATTGTCACTTGGAGGACAGACTGGCTGGGGCCATTTGAGGTTGGGGATCCTAAACTGAACCTGGATCAGTCAGCATGGCTTGTGTTGACCTCAGTTGCTTGTGTATATGCGGAGTGTGGATGTCTGAACAGAACCAGAATTGGAGTACTAGAGTGAGTGAGCTGGAAAGTCAAGGAGTGGTGGTCACAGGCTAGGGTGTGTGCAAGATTTTGGAGATGTTACAGCTCTTAGTCAAAACCTAACAATGCAATCCAACAGAAATATAATGGGGGCTACAAATCTAACTTTAAAGTTCATAGTAGCCACATGGAAAGGACATTTTATTAATATATTTAATCCAGCATAAAGAGTATATTATCATTTCAACAGATGGGTGGTTGGAGAGATTGAGAGAGCTGAGGTGGACCAGTGTCTGGAAGAGTAGGTACTTGGCATATACTGAGTGACAGGAAGTGTAGGTGGCTGGGCTGTAGCCTGATTTCTGTTGGAATTTCCACACCTCCTTTACTTGTCATCAGGACCTCCCACTTCTAGTGCCTGAATCAGTGGGGATCCATTTAAACATGCTCACCCTGTGTCTTCCCCATTCTCTTCTGGCCCTTTATTAGGAGTTTATTATAAGGTGCTCCTCAAATTCTCTTGGTCACTCTGATTTTTGTTTTTCTCCTTATCTGTATTCTAAATTATGTGGATTCATTTCCCTTTGTGTTAGAATATGAGCCCACATAGTTGTTCCTAGAGTGTACCACTTACCCATTTTTAAAATAGGGAGCTCTGTATTTCTATGGATCAATGGACCCATTAGCCTGTGTTGAATGTGAGTGACAGTAGAATTTGTGTGTGTGTGTTTAAGAGAATCGGAAAACAAGGATCCAAAGCACTTGGGTAATTGTCACCAATTTGGAGTCTGGATGGTTTATTAATAAAGCACACATTTTTGTGGTTTTAGTTTCCATATTTCATGGGATTTTGAAGGGAGAAAGCAAAAATCCCTGAGGCAACTTAGTATTTTTTTTTTTTTTTTACTGATAGCCTCTTGCATCTTTGTTATTGAGTTTTTAAAAATTTTTATTGTTATGTTAATCACCATACATTACATCATTAGTTTTTGATGTAGTGTTCCATGATTCATTGTTTCTGCATAACACCCAGTGCTCCATGCAGAATGTGCCCTCCTCAATACCCACCACCAGTCTAACCCATCCTCCCACCCCCCTCCCCTCTAGAACCCTCAGTTTGTTTTTCAGAGTCCATCGTCTCTCATGGTATGTCTCCCCCTCTGATTCCCCCCATTCATTCTTCCCCTCCCCTGCTATCTTTTTTTTTTTTTTTCTTAACATATATTGCATTATTCGTTTCAGAGGTACAAATCTGTGATTCAACAGTCTTGCAAAATTCACAGCGCTCACCATAGCACATACCTTCCCCAGTGTCTATCACCCAGCCACCCCATCCCTCCCACCCCATCCCCACTCCAGCAACCCTCAGTTTGTTTCCTGAGATTAAGAATTCCTCATATCAGTGAGGTCATATGATACTTGCCTTTCTCTGTTTGACTTATTTCGCTCAGCATAACACCCTCCAGTTCCATCCACGTTGTTGCAAATGGCAAGATCTCATTCCTTTTGATGGCTGCATAATATTCCATTGTATATATATACCACATCTTCTTTATCCATTCATCTGTTGATGGACATCTTGGCTCTTTCCACAGTTTGGCTATTGTGGACGTTGCTGCTATAAACATCAGGGTGCACGTACCCTTTCAGATCCCTACATTTGTATCTTTGCGATAAATACCCAGTAGTGCAATTGCTGGATCATATGGTCGCTCTATTTTCAACTTTTTGAGGAACCTCCATACCGTTTTCCAGAGTGGCTGTACCAGCTTGCATTCCCACCAACAGTGTAGGAGGGTTCCCCTTTCTCCGCATCCCCACCAACATCTGTTGTTTACTGACTTGTTAATTTTAGCCATTCTGACTGGTGTGATGTGGTATCTCATTGAGGTTTTTTTTTTTTTTTTTTTTAAGATTTTATTTATTTATTTGAGAGAGAGAGCACATGAGAGGAGGGAGGGTCAGAGGGAGAAGCAGTCTCCTCGCCGAGCACAGAGCCCGATGCGGGACTCGATCCAGGGACTCCAGGATCATGACCTGAGCCGAAAGCAGTCGCTTAACCAACTGAGCCACCTAGGCGCCCCTCTCATTGAGGTTTTGATTTGGATTTTCCTGATGCTGAGCGATATTGAGCACTTTTTCATGTGTCTGTTGGCCATTTGGATGTCTTCTTTGGAAAGATGTCTGTTCATGTGTTCTGCCCATTTCTTGATTGGATTCTTTGTTCTTTGGGTGTTGAGTTTGATAAGTTCTTTATAGATTTTGGATACTAGCCCTTTATCTGATAAGACATTTGCAAATATCTTCTCCCATTCTGTCGGTTGTCTTTTGGTTTTGTTGATTGTTTCTTTTGCTGTGCAAAAGCTTTTTATCTTGATGAAGTCCCAATAGTTCATTTTTGCCCTTGCTTTCCTTGCCTTTGGCGATGTTTCTAGGAAGAAGTTGCTGCGGCTGAGGTCGAAGAGGTTGCTGCCTGTGTTCTCCTTTAGGATTTTGATGGACTTCTGTCTCATATTTAGATCTCTCAACCATTTTGAGTCTAATTTTGTGTGTGGTGTAAGGAAATGGTCCAGTTTCATTCTTCTGCATGTGGCTGTCCAATTTTCCCAACACCATTTGTTGAAGGGACTGTCTTTTTTCCATTGGACATTCTTTCCTGCTTTGTCAAAGATTAGTTGACCATAGAGTTGAGGGTCCATTTCTGGGCTCTCATTCTGTTCCATTGATCTAGGTGTCTGTTTTTGTGCCAGTACCATACTGTCTTGAT